GAAGGGTAATTGAATTCACAGCTGCAGCCCAGCACAACGCAGGGCTCGTCTGATGTAGAAGCTATGGCTAGCAACCTAACCTGTGCGATAGCCAAGTCCAACGACCTTGCGTTGATCGTTCAGTCTTTGAATGACTTCGTGGATCAGGGCAGATGTCGCATTCCTAGGTATATTGACATAAATTGAGGGACAGGTCCGTCAAGGGCAGAAATCTTTCACATGTCGTTACCAGTCTCGGAAATTTGATTGTGGCCATGAAAGCATCAATAATGTTGAAGTTTACTATGGAGTCATGGTCCAGAGCTTTCTCGATTCTTTCTCCAGGCCAGGCTCAACCCCGAATATCATCGTCATCATACATATTGGCTGGCCCCCATCTTCCTTCCCTCTTGGCCCCTCTCGTCGTAAAAATCCTTCCAAAGAAAACCTGCCAACGCCTAACCGGGTTGTTTCGCAATCAAGGTATCATCTGTGTGTTCGCAAGTCGTCGTACTCATGACAGTCAAAGAAGTTTCACGCCTCTCCGCATCAACCCTTCCACGCCTTCGGAACCCAAGCCGCATTATCTTTCATCGACATCATCCATCTACTTTCCGGGCGGCGGGCCAGCAGGCGGGGCGTAAGAATCCCGCTGGTAGGCGTTTTGCGGCTGCTGCAGGTGAATACCCTCGTTGTGACCGCCGTAGTATCCATCGTTTGGGTTGAACGTGGTGCCAGTGTACTGAGGTTGCTGCTGAGCGGGCCCGTAAGCCGGAGGCGGGTTCTGGTAGGCGCCGCCCTGCTGGGGGTAGCCCGCGTATCCTTGCTGCTGGCCGTTGTACGGCTGGTTGTAGGCGTAGGTGCCCTGCTGGTTGTGCTTATTATTGTTGCTCATCCATCCGGTGCCGTAAAAGGGCTGGACACCGCGCTTTCTGCGACGGCGGGAGTTCATGCAGCTACATCACAAAAACATCGGTTAGCCATGATGAACGCACGCAATGGGAGGTCGTGCCAGAAGACGGGAAATAGCACTGGGGGAGTACCCTAACAAGATGAGGATCAGAAGTGCGATGCCGACGACGACGGCGGCGAGAACCCAGCGTCCCCACCAGTACCATGCGCCGCGTTCATAGCATGCTCCGTTTCTGTAGACTTGACCGGAGCTGCAGTAGAATTGTCTGCGAGATTGACGTTAGCGTCCGGAGGGCATCGCCGGGGGGTATGATGTATGCAGGGTCTCGCAGATCCATTTCGGATGGCATGCAATAAGGGGAGGAAGGAAGGAGAAGGCTTACCTCTTGTCGAGTGAGTCGATGGGAAAGGGTAGAATGTGAACATTGCCTACAGCGTCCGCCATCTTGATGACTGTGATGTTGTCGCTGGACGGGAAGTTTCTTGTTCGTGAACCTGGATGTTGAAGGTATGGGAAAGGTTGGCTCTCAGTGGTATGCCCGAACTTCTTATGCTATCGTTGGCGGACAGGGTTCTGGTGCGACGAATAAAGAAAAGACGAGATATAAACGGCAGGAGGAGCTGTCCGGGGAGAAGCTTCGTCCGACTATTGTATTTCTTGTTCGTGCTTCAGAAGAACCCAAGAGCTCACTTCTGCGTGGCGTTTGCTATGTTTTTCGTTGGCGGGGAGGGAAGATGGCGAGTGATGTTCAATGACGTGATGGCTTTTGACGTCCTGTCTGTCTGGGCGAGATCCGGTCTAGAGCTCTTGGTGGTGCAGTGCAGTGCAATGCATAAAATTTAAGGTGAGTTGTACCCGTGGAGAATAGGTAGCGTAGGTCGGTTTTGGTGGGAGGATTGCGGCCTATTTAGATTGCAATGCGAGACAGCCAAAGGTTGAATTAATCAAATAAGAATTTGGATGGTTTCTGTTATGTATCCGGATCCGCAGTGTAGGAAGGCAGCAGCGAAGCGCCAGAAGAGAGAGTCAAGACGTTTAGGTTTTTGATTAAGTACAGGGTTGATTGATGGAAAAGACTCTTGAGAAAAAAATCAGACGGGGGTACGAGGAAGAGGGGGGGGAAAAGAGGGATCCAAGTTATATTTCGCCCGACGGCGTGATGAAGAAAGCCAAGCAAACCGTCGCCAGACAAAAGCGACGTCTTGGAGGCTGGGCAGTCACTTGGCCCCAAAGCCATTGCGTGGCCTCCCTCCTCTGCCCAGACTTCGCTCACTTGGTCCCCCGGCGAAGCTTCCAGTGATGCCCACACCTTCCTCAGAGCCTGGCCACTCACGATTCACCACCGTCACCAGTCATGAGGCACCTATAGGCTAACAGGCCTACCTTACTTACCTTGCCGTGCTTGCCTTACGGATGGACTCATCATGGGTGGTATGGAATTGGAATTAGGTACAATGATTGTACTTCCATTGTCAGCCCTCAGCAACGAAAGTCCTCTCCGACCACACTCTACCGCCGAGTCACCACCAGGCATCTCCAGTGATTCGAATGAATGGGGCACCCGGACGGTTAGTTTTCCCTCCGTTCCCTCCGATGTTTTGTTTGGACGGGTTGGGTGCTTTTTCGTCTGAAACTACATATACTTACTTGTACGTATCTCTCTCGCGCGGACACTCACCAACTTCACCAAGAAGCTAACGGTCCTCCTCCAAGACACGAACCCATCAAAGCCCCATGCAAGGTACCAACTGGCCACCGCGGATCCTCTCCTCTTCCTCAGGCCATCAAGGGCCCAATACACTATAGTTCACCCAGTTCCAAACTATCCAATAACCCATCACGTCGCCCGGCAAGAGTTCTTATCGAGTCATCCGGGCTCCGGCATCGAATGTGGCTGTGTTCGCCCTCTCGCCCTCTCGTCAGCCAGAGAGGCCCGGCCAACGCCCAGTAGCCCACAAGGTGAATAACCGTGGTACCATAGCCTTCGTGAACGAATCGCAAAAGCGCCTCACACCGTTTCGGTAAACGAAAAAGACAAGAAGCAGAAGAACCTGAGCAAAAAAAGAAAGAATGGGGCTTCAAGGCGGCGCCTGACATCACCGGCACGAGCGAGGCTTGGCCGTCTCCATTCAATTATTGCGCGCCTCCCCTCATCCAACAGTGGTACATTTTGCCGCGGGCCCATCAACCGCATCCTCCTCCCAAGGGTTCCTCGTTCACCTGTGGCGATGCCGCGGTAGCGTGACCTCTCCAACTAAAATACCTGTGGTGAGATTCAGTAAATAACCTTTCCCCCCGCGAACCGCCGCTGGGAATTGGAATCATTGCTCACCAAAAAGCCTACCGTGCTTCAATAGCATGCGGCCTTCACGGCGGCCCTCTGAGAGTTGAGTTGTTGTTCACCACAACCAACACCATCCCCACCGAGCAAACTGGGCGGTGCACGCCTCGCGAGCTTATTCCAGCAAGTTTCCACAAAAAACATTGTCCTATTTGTCATTTACTCGTTGTGTTTCTCTCGTTTACTCATTCTTAGCATGGCAATCATTTTGTCATCCATTTTGCAGTCGCCGCTGCCCTGGGCTCCCCTCAGTTTTTTCGCGGCACTGCGGTTTGTTCAATATTCGTTTGCGGTTTCTCTCTGGGATTTCCAAGGGCCGGCCTCCCTGGCGGCGACATACCGGGGATGGATTCCGGCAAGGGAAGCTGAGCTCACACCGCCGCAGACCGATATCTTTCGGTCATGATCTACCTTACCTAAGCTTGCGGTACATCGTGAACCACAGGGAGAAGCTAGAACAGACCTCTGCGTTCAGTTCCTCTGCTTTCAGCTGGCGTGTCTGCCCTCGCTCACCAGTCACCCCACGCGTGCCACTGCCAGACACAACTCTAAAGAACCCGGTCACCCGCGACTCGCGAACCCCGGATGTTCTGGAAGAAACGGGAGCTGCTTAGACAGCAGAGTTGAAGGCACTGCCGCACTGGCTGGCTACTGACGCTGAGGTGGTGCGGCCGCTCTCCCCTCCCCACCTCGCTCCGCCCAACGCCGGTGACCCCACTACCTTAAGGGACCTTACCATCCGGATCACCCTAATGCTGAGATCCACCTCGCCGCAAACAGCAGTCAGCCTCTCTCGAGCTTCTTCGACAATTTTCGTGAACTTGTCCGAGATGACGAGCAGCCTCCCTTCTCTCGAAACTTTCCCTTGGAATAAGGCAACAAATACACTGTAATCCCTCTGAACAAAAATAGACCAGCCGGCAAAGGACCAATGGTCCATCTCGCCATGTGGAATGCCTCACTGCCTGGTCTCATTATCTTGCGAGCAACTCGACCCGGGGCTCGATCGACTGCACTCCGCTGCTCATCACCAAGACTGTTTCCAAAACATCTGGGCACAACTCTTTCTCGGTATGTCAGCCAGCTTGCCGCGCACTTGGGACTGTCTCAAACCGCTCCGTCACCTGAAAACTTCCGCGACACTCCGGCAACACAAACCCGGCCTAGGCGATCAACGGCCTGTTTTTTTTTTACTTCATCTCGACAGTGATTTTTGTAAAACGGCATATGTCTTTAGACATCTTCACTCTAAAAACTTCAGCAAAGACTTGTTGGGATTCAAGGTACGCTCTTGACATCAAAAAAGTGTAGTCTCTCTACGGACATACAGACCCCTCAGCGCTGTTCACCGAGTGAGGGCATGATTCCGACAAGCGCTGTGAAACACAGCCGGTCGACGAATAAACGGAATCCCGGATTTGCCTCCGGACTCGGCCCTGGCCCTCACATTTTCCCCATGTGATCCCTGACCTCTTCCCCAGTCCTTCAATAGCCAGATGAAGGATGAGGAACAAACATGCGTCGTGGCCTGATGGCAAAATCCCAAGTGACCGCTGCAGGTCTCAAAACAAAAATCGCAAAAATGGACATGCTCAGCGTCCCACTGAGAACCGCTCGTGACCCGTTAACACCGATTCATCGTGACTTTTAGTATCCCTCATGCCGGACTTTGTCGAAAATGAAACCACACCGAGTCCACACTCCCAAACGCCGTACCGCCGCTTATGTTGAAAAAGGTATGCGTGTACTTGAAAAGAAACCCCTCGCTTATTTGGGGAATGTAAACCGGGACGTAATCTTCTCGGGCTCCTTCTTGCCAGACGTCGCTGTCGTCTGCTGCTGCCGCGCCGCGAGGTCGGCAATCTTCTCTCGGGCCTTCATGAGGCTGCTGTTGTCCTGCTGCTTGAGCTTCGCGCGGATCTCGTACAGTGCCATCAGGGTCGACGCGCGGTCCATATCATCTTCGGCCTGTTCATCACCCATCATGTAAGCTCTCTGTCCCGTTCCAAGTAGTGGTTGTTGGTGGTGCTGCAAGGTGGTGGTGGTAGTGCTTCGTACATCAGAGTCCCTCTTGGGCGTGCCTGGGATGGAGCCCTGCGCTGAGTTGGAGCGCGACAAGGCGGGCGGGCTCATCATGATGCGACGGCCGAACTTGTCGACGCGGGCGGGCGAAGCGGTGCCTGTACCTGTCCGCGAGGTCTGGGAACTGTGCGTGTGAACGCGGCGGAGTTCATCGGTGGGACGCCTGGGCAGTCCGGGGGCGGCGGGGTTGGCGCTGGTCTTCTCAACCGTCTGGATGGCCTTGTTTGCGGTGACAAGAGCGGCTGCCGCGTTGGGTTCCTGTGTTGGAATGAGGTCATCAGCACTTCTGTAGATAGGGAAGATGGGTGAGTTGAGGAAAAGTTTATTGCGGATCTCCTTTCTTCCCATGAGCCCCTACAGCCGCCGAACCGCCCAGCGCATCGCATCGCAGAGGGAGTTACATGGGCGAGTCAGAGAATGCGACCGGGACGAGAATCAACAATAGTAGAGAGTAGGGAATGAGGGAAACAAACGGCTGCGTTGAGGCTGCTCAGGTCGGCAAGCATCTGCGCCAGCTGGAGGCTCTCCATGGCGACTTTTAGTATTGGGTCTGCGGATTCTCGTTGTTGGTGGTCTCCTGTCGCGTAGTGCGTAGAATGGAGAATGCTGTCAATTAACAATGCAGTGTTGATTAACGGGCTAGAAGTGGATGCAGGCAGTTAGCAGTGAATTTGGCCGAGAGGAGAGTGAAAGTGGGTGGATCTGGGCAGGGAATAGACATGGAGCATCATAGCATGGGGCATAAGGTAAAACCCACCGACACCGTCATTCCAGGCCAAGACTAAGGAGGCTTTTTGACTTTTAAGGCCAGGTACCACTGGCCACAAGTGCCTGACAGTAAGGCTCTTTGTGCCGGGTCTGTGAGAGATGTCAGAGGGGGGAGAAGGGACAGAGCGGAGGGTGCGTGAGCTAGTGTTAAGGGCTGCGCTGTTGTGTGTTTATGTGTGTGTATGTTTTTGCTAAGGTGTGATGATAATAGGAAAAGGGCAGGTATTCACCGCGTAGTGATGTTGATAAACAAATTTGGCAGCAGTGATCAGGCTGCGTGTGGAAGGTGACTTGATGTAGGAGGAATGCCACCTTGAAATGTGAGGTGTGAGGTGTGCCCTATGGCATGGGGTACGTAGTGACGATACGTATATCACAGTCGAGTACGGGAATATGGGTAAAGATCAAAGACATCAACATTTACCCCGCCGGAGACAAGGTAAAGGAACAGTTCCAAGTGGCAGATGGTAGCAGGGAAGTGTCCTTATTGGGCCTTCCTTAGCCATCCATCGGGTCCGGTGCAATGGTCTGTCACTTTCAACTCTGTCTTCCCAGGTGAAGGTACCTAGGTCGGTAGGTACCTTGACTTTAGTCCAAGTCGATGATCAAATCCACGAAACCGAGCTGGAGGGAAGGAAGGAAGCGGGGTGAGAGACACAGGGCACCTTCCCCCACACTGGGCCATTTCAGCCACATTGAGCACCCCAGGCCCTTCCTTGCTCTTCTGGCCACTTATGCGACTGCTGGAACATCTGTCGCCTGCTCTCCCCGACCGGTTGGGCGGGAAGTGTCTCCCCCGAAGCTTCAAGTCGATCCCGTCCAATCGAGGCCAGCTTCAATCCAATCCAGTCAGTTTCCAGACTGCCAGATCTCGCGTGCATTGGACTACTTTCTGCACAGGCCCTTCTTATAGGTATGCAAGCTTCAATGGTTGCCGCCGATTGACGCATCCGTCCTCCGAATCGCCTTGACCAGATTGGCAAGCCTCCGTGCTTAGTGCCGGCAGGTCTCCCGACGCACCCAACTTTCCAACCAGTATAAAATCTGACTAAGCATCCTCGAGTCTCCCAGGCCTGCGTTCCCCGGTTATTCGGAGAATCCGACACTGGCTCCGGCATCGCTTCGGCATCCTTTCCGAAGCTCGTTATCAACCTCACGCCTTCTCATAAATCAACAGACCTTGAATCTTGCAAAAATCTGTAACTCGAGGAGACGCAAATCACAACCGTCAAGATGTCCATGGTTTTCAGACGCTCAATGGCTACTGCCGCCTCATTGAAGAGGGCCGGTAAGGTCATGTGCATTGGCCGCAACTATGCGTGAGTGATTCGTCACCTGCCCCTCGACTCTCACAAACATGAGATGCAGGCACAGGGAACAGAAGAGAGGACTAACAACCAATCCACAGCGATCACGTCAAGGAGCTCAACAACACCCGCCCTAAGCAGCCCTTCTTCTTCCTGAAGCCCACCTCCTCCATCCTCCTCCCTGGAGCCGGCCCAGTGCTGAGACCCAAGGGTGTCGACATGCACTATGAGGTCGAGCTCGCTCTCATCCTCGGCAAGCAGGTCAAGGATCTCAAGGCCGATGACCACAAGGGCGCCATCGACGCCATTGAGGGTTCGTCTCACTCACTTGGGGCACATTGTCCCCCTTCCTACCCTCACAACCACTGACACACAAGACAGCCTACGCCCTCGCCATTGACATGACGGCACGCAACAACCAAAACGAAGCCAAGAAGAAGGGTCTCCCCTGGTCTATCGCCAAGGGCTTTGACACCTTCCTGCCCATGAGCGACATTATCAAGAAATCCGCCATCCCCGACCCCCACGACATTGAGCTCTTCCTCAAGGTCAACGACGTTGTCAAGCAGGAAGGCTCCACCAACCTCATGCTCTTCCAGATCCCCCGCATCCTGAGCGACATCTCCAAGGTCATGACCCTCGAGGCCGGCGACATCGTCCTGACCGGAACCCCCGCTGGTGTCGGCCCGGCCGTGCCCGGTGACGTGATCCGCGCCGGTCTCCGTGTCGGCGGCAAGGAGCTGGCCGAGGCCAAGATCGAGGTTGCCGTTGAGGAGTCTCCTAGCTCGTACGAGTTCGCCGAGACGTAAGTGTCGCTTTGATGTTGAACTATGGGAGGTGACCTATCTAGAGAAGGGGGAGGATTTGAGCGATTTATCTGCAATGTTTTACAGAAAAGTCATGTTGGGTCTCATATAAACAAAGGGCCGAGATGTGAACATCTCAGCCTGGATCATCTAGATCAATCATGATCACATGTACTTTTAAATCATATAGACCGTCTGCTCGCCTTCGCCTACAACAAATACCCAAACCTGAAAGATCACACCGCGTACCTCAGAGACAAAGTGCCTCTCTCTCACCCGCTCATCCACTCATCGAAATGTAACGCAGGCCACTTCACTCCAAGTTAGGGTCCTTAATCGATCCAGGCTTCGGCGCCGCCTCAGCGACAACACCACACGTCTTACACGTCCTCGCCCCCTCGTCGGCCTTGAACGCCTCGACAGCAGCCTTGATCTGCGTGCCGAGGTCGGTGCAGTGGAAGGCCGCCTCGTGGACGACCTCGCGGCAAGACTCGCAGTACCAGCGCATGCGATCGATGGAGCCTTCCGGTCGTCGCTGCTCGAGCACGACACCGACCGTGTCGGCGAAGCGGACGGGGTTGTGCGGGGTGTTGCCGGGGAGCAGGAACATGTCGCCCTCGCGGATGATGACGTCCTTGAAGACGCCCTCGTCGACGACCTTGAGCATCATGGCGCCCTTGTACTGGTAGAACCATTCGGGAGTCTGGTTGATGTGGTAGTCTGTTCGGGCGTTGGGGCCGCCGACGATCTAAGGCTCGGCGTCAGAAATGATGATGATGATGGTGGTGGGGGCGGGGGCGGGGGGTCAGGGGGATGAGTTTTGAGTTGTTGTGCTTACCATAACGGTGAAGTCCTCATTGTAGACGCAGTAGTTGTTGATTGGGGGTTTGAGAAGGTGAGAGTTCTCCTCTAGCCTGAGTGCGTGAGAGAGACGTTAACATCAATTGAGCCCCATTGCGAATAGCCTCACAATCGCATGCTATACAGAGCTGGGCAACGTAGGTAAAGTTGGAAACTCACCACTTGGGCAGGTTGACAGGGGGTCCAAGCATGATGGCTGCTTGTGGTGTCGTGAGTCACTTGAGCTTGTTTCGCGTTTTAATGAAAACTCTTCTTTGTAAAACTCTGGCGTGAACAATTCAACAATTGTGGGTTTCTGATGTTGAAATCGGGTGGTAAGGCTATGAGATGGTGTAGACAAGTTGTTTTTCTCCTCTCCTTCACTTCCGTGGCGAATGAGATATTTAGGCTTTGGATGACTACTACAACTCATTGATGAGGCTGCATTTATCAGCCGCCAATGCTCTCATTCCGGACGGGCCCGGCGGAGCTACTGGAGAGAGTTGCGGACCGCCCACAGCGGCGGGTAAGGTAAAGACCGACAATCTATGAAGGTATTGAGATAATCCTCCATATAGTTACAGAGAGATGTGAAATGAATATCGAGTCATCTTCATCGCTGACAAACACAACGTTGAAGGTCGGAATCACATCCTGTAGTTCGTCCTTTACGAGCTTCTAGGAAGTGATTCACCGGCACAGTTAGCCGTCGATAGGCAGTTAGTAATGATGGTCATAGACTGAAGACTCCGAGCAACCGAGAGCGAGCGGCGACAATGGCCTACGACCCCTCTCACTAAAAACAACCCCGCCATACCAACACGTCCCAGGCTCCGAGGACTCCATTGTGTAACCCCAGGTGCGATTTCCAATGAGAGAGATCAGAATGTCACTGGTAAGCCACCTGGCCAGTCCCAAGTGACGCCTGGCCTGGCACGTCTGAGGAGTGTGATGGGGGAAGGAGGGGACCACCCGCCCCGCCCTACCCGTCTCGTCCAGCGCCCACTTACCCGCCTCACGGGTTGTCGATCTTACAATCCGCCTCCAGCAAGTCTCACAGCATCAGTGCAGGGCATCACCATCTTATAAAGCTGCATGCTCCAGCCCCTGCCTGCTTAAGCAGCATTCTACGCAGGAGAGGTCCGGGCGTGTGCAGAATGGAAAGAGAAAAAGAGACATTTCAGACGAGTCAACGCCTTAGCCGCCGCGACGGTCTCTTACAGGCCTTTCCCAGCCAGCATCCCGCCTCAAGTCTCTCCTAACAGCCCCTCCGAGTCTCACGAGGACAAGCTATCTTACCTTAGCCCCAGCACGTCAGCTCCCCGCCGTTTGGTTTAGTTTTTGCTAAAGTATTCTTTGTTGTGCTCGTACACAGACAACCTGTTACTGACCACTCCCCTACACCGACACAGCAGCGGCAAGCGTGCTAAAGGTTCTGAAAGGTAAAGTGTTAGCTGGTTGGTGAGTAGAGAGGCAGCGCAAGAAGGGAACACCCCGTCTCAGAGGCTGGGAACCTGCGCACATTTGAGCGAGTTTCCATCTCATCCCCCTAAGCCACGGGCCGCCACCCCTTCTTCAGCCTTAGTCGTGAACGTGCAGGATAGATAGCTTGTACATATTCTCCGGTAAAACATTACTTTGCATTTGCAATAAACGACAAAATCATCTCCCATCCTTCGGCAATTTCTACCGTTTTGTCGTTCCCGGCAGTCATCAACCGAATCGTTGCTAGCTCCCGCTCCGTACAGATACAAGATCGCAGAACACCATTGGAACCCCTACCACCACGGTACCACCCCCGCGAAACCCGTACCCTTACCGTTATCCATTCTGGAACCGACATACCCCCGGTCCCGCATATCTCACTGAGGTGACTGACCGACTGACCGACCACGCACTGGGCAGACGCAACCTCTCCTTTTCAACAACAATCACCCATCTTGAAACCGTACCGAACGAAGCACGCAATATCCCAATCTACGTGCTAGAAAATTCCACACCGAGCTCTCGACAACCAAGCCTTCCCTCGATAACCACCCCAAGTACCGATCAATATGGACCACGCGCACATGGATCACTCAAAGATGGACCACTCCGCCATGGACCACGGCGATATGGGAGGCCACGGAATGGGAGGCGGCATGGGCGACCGGTGCAGCATGAACGTACGTTTCTTCACATAGCCCGTCATACCTGCGCATGCCATGTGCTCCCTCTACCACTTCCTCTTCGAACTATCGCGGAATGCCCTCACGGCGGTCCCTCCACGAGCCGGCCATAGAGCTCCTCTACTCCTCAACTCGCTCCTATCGGAGCTCAATGTCAAGATGAAAGCATAGCTCAAAGCTAACCCGCGTTCTCTTCTAGATGCTCTTCACCTGGGACACCAAGAACCTCTGCATCGTCTTCCGCCAATGGCACGTCCGCTCCACCAGCGGCCTTGTCATCTCGCTCCTCCTCGTCGTCGCACTCGCCGCAGGCTACGAAGCCCTCCGCGCCGCATCCCGCCGTTATGAGAACTCTGTGAACAAGCGCGTCGACTCTCTCCCGAGTAAGCACCCTCTCCTCTCCCGGCAGTCGCCATCGCACATACATATACATAAACCTGTATCATACCCGTCTTCTGTATACCAAACAATTACCTTTCGCCCATGATCCCCCACCCACATACTTCCCATCTTGCACATACACATTACCTTGAAAGCTGCGCTCCCCAACCAAGCGCCCCTCTTCCCGACCGACGTAGAGGTGGACCTAGGGCGAGCGCATACATCCCCCCACTCCCCTTTGCATCAAACGTGATACCGAACACAAATGAGCTAAGAAGTCTTCTGTCTTTCGAGGCGTCGCTGGAACCGTTACTGAGACAACCCCCTTCCTATGGACAGGACGCGAACAGGCAGAGGCCAGCAGGAGCGCACACCTCGTCAAGGCCGTCCTCTACGCCGCCCAGAACTTTTACGCCTTTATGCTCATGTGAGTTTGAACCTTTCTCCCCTTCCCAATTTTGCGTGCCATTTCGGATTCAGCTGCACTTTTGCTCTCCGTGGAAGAAAAGAAGCGAGTTCGCAAAAAAAGCGCACTTGGGACGCTTGTTGAGGGAGATTCATACCCCTTGGCATGTCGTATGGAAGAAGCGAACTGACGAGAAACAGGCTCGTTTTCATGACATATAACGGCTGGGTCATGGTCGCCGTCGCTATCGGCGCCTTCGTGGGATACGCCGCATTCGGCAGCTCAACCTCCTCGACCAAGGACAATGCATGCCATTGATAGGCTCCGTTCATTCGCGCAAGGCCCCAGGTGGCCTCAACAACCATAGAGATGCTTTTGTATTTTCCCTCGCACAATAGCTTCGTTTTTTTCTGGACATCAATGGTGGGAGGGGCGTATCTTACCACACGGGCGTTGATCGATCTTGATATTTGATAGCATTAGCTTCTGACTCCCCACAGGCCGAAGACAGGCGGCGGCGGTTGAGTCTGGCAAGAGAAGAGGAACCCCGAATAGGGAACTCGAAAGAAACAATATGCGAAAGCAAATGTTCATTCATCGTGACGGCTGCGGCTGCTCTAGCTGCAGCGGCAGACTCTATATATGTGATTTCTACATATTGATAGCGGGCGATGCGTATAAACACCCCAGAATCCTGATTCTCCGACACTATACGCTCGAAGAAATGGGTGAATTCCATCTTCTGGATCTCAGTCACTTACATGCTGAGCTCACATCTTCGCAGGCTCCGCCTTCTCCCCCCTCCCGTCCTCCGCAGTCGTACTTGTCGAACTCGTTGTCGTCTCATCCCTCTTCCGCTTCTTCTCCACCAAACTCCCCTCCCTCTCCGCCTGCAGAATAATCTCCTCGTCGCCAAAGTGCTCGTTACACTCAAACTCGGGATTTTTCCCGTACGCGATGCGCGCGCAGTCGACGAGCATATGCGCCGTCAGTCCCCACACTTTGAACCGCCCGCCGCCCTCCTTATCCTTCTCCTCCTCCAGCTTCTCGGCGAGGTTGCTCTGCGGGTGATCCACCTCCATCGCGTTCCCCGGCGTCGTGACGCGCTGGTCGTCGACGGGGACGTAAAAGTTGTGTACGCGCCAGGGGTGTTCTTTCCACTGGATCCAGCTACCGTCGTACCAGTGGCCCGGCGGGAGGACCTTGGATGACGAGGGTGGGAGGTCGGCATCCTTGGACCGGAGGAAGTTCTGAAAGGGCGCGGAGAAGACGGCTGCGACTTCTTTGGCGTCCAGGCGCGGGATCATGCGCTCCTCGACGAGGGGGCTCGGATCGTCTTCGTCCGGGTCCTCGTCGGCGTGGAGGAAGGCGACGCAGGGGCGGACGACGAGTTCCGTGCGGGCGAGGTTGTAGGGGAGGTAGCAGAGGGGTTCGATCTTGAAGGGTTTCGGGATGCGGGCGTCGTCCATGGGCAGGCCGATTTCCTCCCACGCTTCTCTTCTTGCGATTTCGTCTGGCGAGGTGGTCAGCTATACAGCCCACACACTTGTTGACAGCGTGGGTGGTGGACCCCGTTGGTATTGCGACTTACACGGTGTTTCTTGCAGCGTATCCGCCTTGCCTCCCGGGAAGGCGGCGTGCCCGGAGAAGCTCCGCAGGCTGGCCGCGCGCATCGTGATGACGACGCGCAGGTCGCCTCTGCGGTCGGCGTAGAGTAGAATCAAAACGGCCGCTCGGCGGCTCACTGGGAGTCTGTCCCAGAGAGGGAATGCGGGCGGTACATATCGTCTCAGGCGGGCGATGGCCGCCTTAGAGCGCATTAGCATCCTATTTGCGCAGAGATACATAGCCGGCAGAGGTGTTTCATGTACTGAAACGATACAATACAACAAAAGGAAAGGAAAGACAGAACAGCGAAGATGAGCAAGAGATGGCGGCGAGGGAGCGGGCGCGAGAGGAAGGAGAGAAAGGGCCAAGAGGGCACCAAGTCATGAGTTCATGGGGTGATACAGCGCTTGATATGCGGCGACATGATGATGGGCAGCAAGATAGAGCAGGAGGGGGGTAACAGGGCGTGAGAATATAGCTTCACTTTGGGGAAGCATAATACATGAATGGTGATAGGCTGAGGAACACATGAAAAAGAGCGAGATCGGGCATGACTGCAACGCTGCATCTAGGTTGCATCTACCCCAACTCCAATCTACATGGGCATCGAAGGAGGAGTTCGTGGGGAGGCAGACGGAGCGAAGAGAATCAAGAAAGTGACTAACCGCAGATACTGAGTTGAGGGGAGCCATGGCTCCAGCATCCCAGTAGCTCGTAACCTCTTCGTGGTCGTCGAGGATGAGGATACCCTCTGGGTTGGGGTTACCGTTGTCGTTGGTGTTCTTGTTGTCGTTCGTCTGGCTAGTAGCAGCAGTAGTAGTGGCGGCCGGATCCTTGGCGGCAGCGGCAGCGGCGAGCGTGGTCTTGATCTCGTGGACCTCCTGATCCGTCGGTGGCGTGGCCTCGTCTAGCTGCTGCTGATGCTGCAGGGCTGGCGACGCCGTCGCGGTGGTACTGGTGGTCGTTGTAGTAGTAGTAGTAGTAGTAGTAGTGGTGGAAGAAGCAGTATTACTGGTGTTGGTTCCCGTGGTTGCTGCAGCGTCTTCGGAGAAGGACGGAGGAGAGGTTGGGGCCGGCGAGGGGTCCGTCGCGGCCGCTTGGCTCATTTCTCGGTCTTATCTATCCGACGGGGGGTGGGGGAAGGAAGAAGAGGAGAGGAGGATGAGGGGGAGCAAGAGGTGCAGGTTTGCAACTCTATCTGCGCGCCTATGGATCGAATGGGATGAGGATGGAAGGGGGGAAGGTAAGGTAAAAAGAATCCCTAGGATGTTGTGAGGAGTATGTAAGCGTGTGCGTGTGATTGAGTGTGGACGGGAGCTCCGGTTAGAGGTCCGGACGAAGGATGACCGACACGAGGAAGCGAGGTCCAGGAAGAATGCGGCGTTCAAGCGTTCAGCGGTCGTGCGCGGGGAGTCAAGGGTAGAGGAGGAAGAGGAGGGGGCCGGCTGCGCGTGTTCTTGCCTAGAAGGTCGCGGACGTGAGACGTGGTTGGAGGAGGGTGGATGACGGAGTTGCTGTGTGCTTATCCAAGGCAATCTAAGGTAAGGTCTTTCAGACTGTGTACGGAGTATTGTGGTTGGAGTTGGAGAAAAGGAGGAGGAAACCGAGGGCCCAGAACAGTCACCTTGTGCGAACGTGTGTCTTGGGGGAAAGTTGTTGGAAAAAGCGCCGAGCCGAATTGCGGGGGTGGGGTTAGTTAAGATATCCCGAAGAGCCAAGTAGCCGGGGCAGTATGGAAGTACAGAGTGAGTCAATAGCAAGTAGCAACAGCAGTCAGATCAACCATACTTTTGAGATCTCATTATGAGATGTCACTTCTGCCCTAAAGGCTTACTTATCGTCAACTCTCATTGGGTCGGCAAGCTAAGGCATCTTGTTTCCATGGGAAGTAAGTAGTTACCATAAGGTAAAGCATGTCACCGGGTACCTTATGACTCCCAGGTACGTCGCCGCGGGTCTCTCACCTAAAGCTCGGCAGCCCGCGGCCCGGCGAACACGGAGGTCCCGCGGAGCTTGCCATAACCCGAACTTGTCATTGGCCCGGGTTGACGTCTTACATGGGAATGCGGGACCCTTTTCCGCTATTACTTATCGATTACTTTATTAGAGGTGGGGGAGCTGTTCACATCACACAGCTTCGGGCGCATTCAGACTTTGGCTTTGCATCCACCGGATTCGTCTGCATATTGTAGAAAGTAGAGATTATCTTCTTTCACTCCCTATATATTGTTCTTGGTAGGAATGTCTATCTAAGGTAAAATATTCATCTGGACTTTTGCCAGGTTTCATGGATTGGCAGAGACGTAATACGTACACTGCCCAAACAACGACAAACGCTTCTTCGCTTTTCAGAAAGGACGATGGACAGGCAGGTAGACTAGTGAGTAGTCTAGGCACCCTCCTTCCATGACAAACAAACAACGCTAAACACACAAACGCCGAGACATGACACCATCCCAGGACTTCTGGCCTGAGCCAGCTGTTCCCTCCCTTGACGCGAACCAGATGGTTCGCATCTTAAGGTACCTTACCCAGCGTCCTAAGCAGCGCAGGCAGTCCGCACCCCGAAACGCCACGCCGGCGCCGTCCCATAATGCCCGGCTTGCACTACTCAAGTGTGCTACCCTCCGGTATCACCCGGATGCTCTGCCTTAGATTTTCTCTCCGCCGTTCATCCTTAGTCAGAACCATCGAGTTCGCTGTCCTCTTGAACTGAGCCGCCAAGCCCTGCATTGAACGCCGGCTACTCATCCTCTTCAGTCCGGGTCCAGCTTGTGTAGGTGAGTCGGGCACCGGCGTAGCTGTGGTACTGCGAGGCTCTGACGTCGGCGGCAGGTCGGTCGCTGTCGTGCCCTCCGAAACTACCCTCCTGTGCTCGCCGCTCCATCGGAATACGCGAGAAAGAGCGTCCGAGTACTTGACCCGTAGACGGTCGTCGTCCATCGAGTGTGCGTGCATATCCGGGTGAAGCGACCTCAATGACTGCTTTCCCATGGTAGAGCCCGTCCCAGGGCCCAGTGATGATGGTGACTGAGGGGTCGTATTGATGCCCGTGGGTGGCCGCTTTCTACCAGACTGAAGCACCTTGGCCGCGAAACTCAGCCTATTCTTTGGTGGCCGAATAGAGCTCCGCCCGGACTCCATGCTGTCTCGGGAAGATCCCGCAGTCTTCTTCGCCGAGTTCGCAATCGATGTCGCCGTCGCGTGGTAGAGGTCCTTGGCCCCCACGTAACTGACTTCCATATGGTTATTTCGCCGTGCGGGAAGCGTCTCGAAGTGGTGCATACCAGGCGATCTCAAGCATCCAATCTCAGAGTCCCGACGTCGCGGGCTCGCTTCGTCAAAGTCTAATATCTCTACCCGAGGCGGCACCGGAGATGCAGGTATCCACGACGGGTGGTTCCTCCGTGAACTGGGACTGAAGTCCCATTCACTGCTATCAGGTTCCGAGTCGTCATCGTAGTCGTCGATCAAGCTCAAAGTTCGGGCTGGCTCCGAAGTTGATGCCGGTTTCTCCGAACTATGCTTCTCTGTGCTGTGAACACTGCTAGACTTGTCGGGTGTAGCTGGCATCAGCGTTTCCGAGACCAATGGTGAACGAGGTGGCCGAGGGGGCGTTGGAGTGAAGCCATTAAAATCAACATCCAGCCCAGTTATTTGCTTGATCTTTGCCGATGATCGGTGAAGAGTACACGGGCTTGTAATTGGTGTAGAGAGACGCCGGACGGCCAATTTTCTGATTTCTGGTTCGGGTCGACGACTCTGAGGCGAGCAACTCCTATGTTCTGATCTTGGTGATACAGGCGATAAGGGAGTCGGGCTATGCTGAATCAAAATTGTGCTGATCTCATTCTCCAGTCTCTCGATTGTCTCGGTTCCCTCAGTAGGTTCCAATCTCGAAGGGGACGGTGATGGTGTCGTCCTGGCACGACTTCGCGACCTCGAGGAATTTCTTGTAGTCGATTTTGTTTCGATGGATATAGCTGAAGTAACTGACATGGCCGACATGACAGAAAAGGCCGAAACTTGGCGATAAAATCCCGGGCGGAGAGGAGGTAGCGGCGGGAGAGGTTTCTTGTCGTAAGTGCCTCTCGGCTGCTGAGGAGGCAGCTCGCCTCCCGGCGGTATTGCAATCTCCAAACCAGGCGGAAGCTGGCTGGGAATGATTCGAGGCTCCATGATGGTGGACATCTCGAAAAAAGCGGCGGGTTTCGTCGATGTGGTGTGGTAAGAGGGAAGACGAAGCAGGAAAGTGTCGCCTAGGACGAAATCCGGGATTCTGGCGCAATATGTCCCATGCCACTGGTAGCCACCGGTTCAAATGACAAAGCTGATGACCGAGACACTTTGATCGGATGCGGCGAGACGATTTTCTAGAAGTGAACTCGAAGTTCTTTGTCGGACTTGTTGACTGAATCGGGAATGGCTAGCTTCGAGGGAATGACTCTGTCGACAAAGGAGGCTTCTATGCAAAGTGCAGGCCAAGCAGTATCTATCAGCCTCCGTCAGGTAAGGCTGCTTCGGTTCCAGTCCAAAAAATCCGCAGTCTTTAGAAACGTGCTCTTCCCCATGAAATGATTTGGGCGAGAGCCAGATTTTAAAAGAGTTTGTTCTCGAGGGGCCCGGATCACTGTATCTATATTCGAAGCAGACAAAGCCACCAGGCGCCCGCCGTCCAGATCGCATATTGCCATGCTGGACGTTGTTTGCCAACAATATTGAGCCACCTTTACGCCATCCAATGAACTCAATCAGTGACCACACCCATCCCGTTACCTGCTTAAATCAGTTTGCTTGTTTGTTCGTGTTGCACCATGGTAAAGGATGTCGGGATGCATCAAGAACTCCCCCCGGCCATGTCCTTGCAAGTCGTTGGATCACAGGGCTGACGCAGTGGTTATCCTGCTCCCTGTGCCACCCCTGGCTTCCCACCTGATGAATCACTTGCTCCATATTAGTAGACGCGGGACGGTAGGATCATGAGTTTAATCGACTTTGACAGGCGCTGAACATGGGTTCTTCGGTGGGTAAGGTTGGGGTGTTGTTGGAGGATCCCACCATGGATGCTTGGCTGGTATTCCAAAGCTCGGGTAGTACTAGCTTCATCAACCGTCAAAAGACACACAGTCATTATAACCGCGAGCCATTAAGATGGACAAAGAAGTCAAGAAAACTGTTGCGCCGCGTGCTGGGCGACAAACACGGTACTCTTCAATCCGAAGGAGCGCCTCCATATTGGAAACCGGCAAGCCGTGCTGTCTAGTGTGGAGGTAAATCGCATGGCTGTAAGTGGCATGCATCACAGCAGAAAGCTGAGCGCTCTCATCTTCTTCACCAGCAAATCTCCAGTAGCATTGTGCCGTAGAATCGAGTTTCCAAATGTGCGTTGACGACGTTGGTAAATAGGCAAGTTGCGCCCGCAGGCCTTCTTCAAACCTCTGACCCGACACCATGGCTCGAGCTAGGTGATCTCAATCGGCGGCATGGGTAGAGGAATCTCGGCCTCCCCCGCCGACCTCGCCGGACTTTGCAATCAAATGAAGATGGGTCTGCCAAGATAACCCCGTGGGGCTTCCTTAGTGATGAGCCGCTTCTCCCGGGACGAGGGCGATCTTGGAGATCTTCCGCTGGCCTTCTGAGACACGGGGATTGAATAATCGTATCCCGGCTAGCACCATGAGTATGACTGAACCCTCCTCGGCACTCCGTACACGCTGATATAACTTAGGTATTGGAAAACCCTCCAGATCTTGGCCGTTGAAACATGGAAGAACCGTTCGAGGGGTTGGATCTTGGATGCATCCGGGACAAGAAACTGCACATGGCCTGACAAAACTTCTGATTTGGTAGGTGTTTCCGCGTCATGGAACCGCAAACGGAACGAGATATTGCGAACCCCTCGTTCAGCAGACCATGGGCGGGCCGCTGCTGCTGTGTATGACGTTATCTTTGGAATTCATCTGATGTCGGTCTGAACCCCGTAGACCGAAGAGAGATAGACTTTTCTATATTTGGAAGCTTTTCAACGAGTTTATTCCATTTCCGACGTTAAAACATGACTGTCTGGTGTCTGGCCTCGAGAGTCTTCATCACATGAGTAAACTCGTCTGCGGGCTGTCGCCAACCAGTCCGTGAGTCTCTATCAAACTCTGCGACGAGACAGCGCAAGCGCCGTCCCACGCTCCGAGAGTAAATCTCTCACGAAAAAGGTCTTTGAGGCTCGGGGCGAGATCACTTGGCGGGTGCCATGAAGAAGTGGCGCATCGATTCTTTCTGACTGGACGTGCTTCGTGACGGGCCGTGGCCCGGGAACTTTTCTTCGACGACGCATTAGATGGCAAGACAAGCAGCGGGGTGTGCCCTGTAGCTCCCAATTAAGAATCAGTCTTGGTCAATGAAGTGTTGAAAATGAGCACAATTCGTCCCAATTGTGCAAAGACGAAGTTGGATGGGCATTTCCCAAGTGCTTAAGCCTAACCCACATCGGTCCATCCCTAGCTAGTCGGTCGGAGCTCCCCAAAGCGGGCTTTGTGAGAGACCTAGATGAGAAGGTCTTCATGAACCAGAGAACATTTGTACGGTATACCCAAAAGGGGCCAGAGACGGTGGATTGTCGGAAGTCGGACTTTGATGCCTGGACTGACATTGCAAGCCGCCCGCCGTCCTGCACTGCTCAGAAGGATGGCAGGAGGATCGGAACAAAATGCTGCTAGCACGACCTCCTTTTTCGATCCCATCATAAGCCTTTGGTCCTTATGCAAGTTCGTGCGAAAGGGCTGACATTCCGCCGCTAAATCAAGCACTGGCCCGTCCCGGCAAGTGGGAGCCAATGCCGTCCCATTTTGCGTCTCGATGGCGTGCAGACCATCGCAGAGCTAGTCAAGGGGTTGTCCCCCCCAAGCTGCTCTCCCTTCACAGCACCGCCAGTCTAGAAGGCGCCGGCCCAAAATCGAGCCCAGGACCTGATTTTACGTGTCTCTGGCGTACGTCAGCTCTATCAGTCGGCTTCTTAGATCCAGCTCGAACAAGGAATAATTAGCACGTGTATGTGTTGTTGGAGGTCAATGCTGTAAGAGGTAGGTAGCAAGTTGTAGCCTGGCATTCCGTGTTGCACGGCGGTTTCGTCAATAGCGTAGTCGTATGTCTTATTCCTTCAGCCCAGCTACTCGAACTACTCGCTGGGAGTAAAAACTACTGAGCTCCATCTCAAAACTTTCTTTCTGCATTCCTCTTACATTTGTCTGTCTTTCTCGTGGTGCGTTTGTGAAAATAGGCTCATGTAGCCGTGCCCCCCATTGCGATGATCCGCCGATATGTGAGCCCACGGCGACGGCCGTCGCGTTTCCGACTCCCCAGCTGGCTTTGGCTGCTTCTCGCGTTCGGTGTGATGGAGTCTGTACTTCATTGCAGAACCTTCAATGCGCCACGGCCAACCAGCGAGCAAGATCAGCCATTCTACACGTCTTGTCGCGAACCAGATGTGACAGGCAAACGTGAGAATGGAGTTTTGGTGATGTTGGCGAAGAACTCGGAGCTTAAGGAAGCCAACCATACGGTTGGCTCGCTTGAGAAGCACTTCAACCGATGGTTCCACTACCCAATCGTCTTCCTCAACAACGAGCCATTCGACGACCGTTTTATCGAGGTGTTGAACAGTACAGCGAGCGGAGGGGCGACATTTGAAGTGATTCCGCAGGAAGACTGGACATATCCCGCGTGGGTCAACCAAACAGCCGCGAAGAGCAGTATCGTTGAGCAAGGGGCGCGGGGCACTATGCATGCAGGCCAGGAAGGTTACCACCATATGTGTCGTTTCTATTCAGGGTCAGTGACAATTCCCCAACGTCCAGCTTAAGCTTCTTGGGGGCACGTACTGACTTTAAAACCTGCAGGAGTTTCTACCAGCTCGAAGCTCTGCGAAAGTACAAATGGTACTGGAGACTGGAACCCGATGTCGATTTCCTCTGCTCGATTACCTACGATCCGTTCGTGGAGATGGCTCGGCGGAAGAAGGTATACGGCTTTACAATCTCCTTATGGGAAGAATGGGACACGGTGCCGTCACTCTTTCGACACACGGCCGAGTTCAAGGAGGCGTTCGATCTGGCGTCTTCGGCATTGTGGAAGGCCATGATGGAACCGTCATGGCTTCCGTATCCACTGCGGCCGCTGATGAGCCTGCTGCCGCACCGTGATCAATCTGGCGACGCCTGGAGCGGCTGCCACTATTGGAGCAACTTCGAGATAGCAGATCTCGACTTCTTCCGCGGAAAACAGTATCAGGCTTTCTTCAAGGCGCTCGATGATACGGGAGGTTTCTATTTTGAAAGGGTAAGTGGATTTCCAACGATACTTTATTCAGTATTTTGTGGTGGGCAAAGAATCGGACTTGGAAAAGAAGGCTCGGAGATGAAGAAGCTGAGGGATGTCGTTGGAGAATTGGAATGACAAGGAAGCCAAGCTTCTGTCTTCCTTCTCCACCGTGAGCTTTGATGCTCCTTCTTCCAAGACTTGCCGAGTCGCATCGCGTCCAACCACGTTCTCTCCCCTGTGCCCGAACCCTTGGCAGCCTGAAGTCGATCACTAACCAGGATTTTGCGTCGCATTTAGTGGGGTGACGCCGCTGTACACTCACTGGCCGTCGGCATGCTTCTCGACGCGGACAAAGTGCATCATTTTGAGGATTTCGGATACAGGCACGACGAACTGTTTCAATGCCCGGCTAATGCGCCAGACGGGCAATTGCCTGGGTCTCAGACGCTTGGGAATGCGTCGTCATACTCAACACCAATTGATGGAGGAATCGGATGTCGATGTGAGTGCGACGGCAAGGTAAGGAGGAACCATAACGGGTACTGCCTAAATAAGTTGAAGGAGCCGAACACTGCGCAGCGACCTTGGTTTTCTTGGACATTGTGACGTGAGTTGGAGTGGTTGGATAGACGCGCACTGGAGGAGACACACAGAAGTATACCCATGTTTTGTTAGAATACAGAGAAGAAGGATTCGTTGATACAGAAATCTAAGCCCAGGTCAAGATCTTATTCAGATCCGCTTCCGTCTAGACCAATAACTCCAGGCACCTATAGTCACGCACGTACATTACAAGGTCTATCTCATCAAGGAAGCTGGCGTAGCTCCTAATCTTCATCAGAGTCATACTTGCCTTGGTAGTCCCCAAGCAAGATGTCGTCCACCGCAAGTCCCGACGTGTTGTTCCGCAGCCACTCTGTTTCAATCCGGAAGAAAATCCATACCCATCGTCTGAACACCTCAAGTGACTGCAATAAGAAGATGGAACTCTCAAAGTCGGTAAACTTGTCCAAGTGTGCGTTCAGCTTGAGCGACCAGGTACACCGCAGCATCAAGTCCATTCCGATCACGGCGTAGTAAATAACAGGCTGCTGGAAAACAAGCCGCCGGCGAAGCCCGAACGGGTGCTCCGGATTGTTGCGCTCACGCGCCGACGAGAATAGAGTCAGGTCCCAATCCTTGGCAACATCCCAATACCACGAGTAAAGGGAGTTGACCAGCACTGCCACCAGCCATGCTCTGTTCAATCCAGGCGCTGGCTGATCGGCCGGAACACTTCGCTGCAGTGCGCTGAAGATGATAACGGGGAACGCCGTGGCGTATTTGGTGGCGTTGGCCAGATGCTGTCCGCCCCAACCGACTGACTCCTTGTAAGGCGCTCTTCGGACTCGAAAGTACTCGATGATGCACTGCCTGAATCGTATCGCGAATGGCACTGCCATGATGAGCGGCACTATCACCGTTCCGCCGCAGTTTCTGTCCGGTCGCGCAGTTGAAGACCCAGACGGCGTGAAGAACATGCAAAGGACCACGTAGAGGTCTCCCAGGATCTTGGAGTAGCTCGTCAATACATCGGCGAGCAGGATATCTCCGAATTTCCCATCCTTTGCTTCTGCTATGCCTCCGATGCTCACGCGTCGCAGCGTAGCGAGGAACCGCGATCGTCCACCTTGCGAAAAGTTGCGGATGGGGACGAAGAAGAGGGCCGCAAGGGCGACCAGGTAGGTCATCGGTAACCAGTCATATTCGATTACGAGGGCGGGGGTTCGACGGGAGAAGATCCAGAAAGTCGAAATCGAGAGCAAGAAGACCGTCGAAAGTACGGTCGCGAGGCGGTAGGTCGATAGGTGATGCGCCGGTTGTGTTGGAGAGGATCGCGAGGGATATCGAATCAGGGAGGGCACATCAATCTTGACTTTGTGCAGGTAGTGGAGGTTGACACCCCAGCCCCAGACGGCTATGCCATAGTCAGCGTGTTAGTTCTGCCCGCGCGCAGTCGCGACCTACCGAGAACAATAATGAATCCAATGCGATAGGGTAGGGGAAAGGTCAAGCTGAACGAGTCGAGCTGCGACTCAACCTTCGGATCACCGTCCATGGCTGTTGGTAGAGGGAGAAAGAGGCATCGAGTGAAGAAAAGGAAAGGCGGGCTCTATGGAGCCAAAGTCGAGTGCAAAGGAATGACGAGAATACAAAGAAGATTCAGAAGGATTAAAATCCGAGTCGCTCAAGACGTGTGTCGCAAAGCCTCAAGATCGACTTAGAAAAGAGGATAGTTTGTCCCGTACAGTTCAGGAGGTAAATTGTCCTGTACGCCTTATCGTTATCAATCGGGCGAGTGGTCTGTGCCTCAAGGGACCTTACGTACCACTGATGGGGGGTGCAATGACGTCTGGGGTAATTCTTAGGCAACTGGGTCGAGATGCATTCGTGATGGTTCTAATTAATGCGTATTGCCAAAATGTCACGAAATGAGAATCCCATAATCATTTTGAGGATGACATCAGAGTTTTATATCTTACGTTGATCTTGTACCTATGATGGTGTTTTGCAAAAGGTAAACTTGAGGTTGAAAGCTGAGGTAATTGAGGTTATGTGCCTCCTCTCAAGTTGGAGTGTCATATCTCCAGCAATCGTTGCAATTACATGTGTGTTAGAATCTTTTGAAACTGACCATTTGATTGGTAAACTCAGCCCACTGCAGTAAGAGTCTTAGCGGGCAATGTTCAAGACTAAATTTATTTGATGTCAAAGGAAACGAGGTGTTTCGTGAGCAATCAGCGGGCATATCATCAATAGAGTGGCTAAGAAGGCGTCGTGCACTAAAGATGTAACATCTGACGGCATATCGACACCAATAGTTTCGACTCTGAGATCATTACGGATGTAGATAGGAAGAGCATTATCAACTACATTCATGTATCATGACCTATGTAGAAATAGTGAATCCTGAATGATGAACTATGTTTCCGCAGAAGTCACAGCTTCTGTGGGAGCTTCCTCCGGAGGCGCAGTACCTTCCTTCTCCGGCCTGCGTCCGGTTATGTAGTACCTAGTCAGAAATCTGTGTCAGCGCAAACTTGTGTCGCATGTGGGATTATCACACTAGGAAGGGTCGTGAATAGGTGGTCTCTTACACTGGCCAGTAAGCGTGAATAGTCCGGTCCTTGATGTCCTTTCGTACTTCCATGAGGAAGACCTCGACCTCCTCGCGTGTCCACTCATGGCCCCGGGTCAACGCGGCCATGGAGAACCCCTCGAGGCCAGTGAGCATGTTCTCACAGTTCCAGATACCGATTTCCTTCCACTTGTGGTCCTTGGGCCACGAGTTGCTCGGCCACTTGGTCACCGTCATCTGGACGTCGATGAAGCCAGCCTCCACCATGACATCTTTCAGCGGAGGAACCTTGGCAAAAGGGCGTCCAAATTTCTCGGAAGCCTCCTGAAGCAAGTCTGCCCACCTGAGCAGCGCAGAATCGGGCTTGAGCGTTCCGTCGTCGGATGTTGGGGCGAGGTCGATTTCTTGCAGTTCGACCCAACCGCCGGGCTCAAGGTTACTTCGGGTTGCGCCTGATTAGTCTTCCGTGTTTATCCAAACAGTTCCATCTGAACATAACACAAGGGCTGTTCTTACTCATAGCACTTCTTCAGATACTTTGCCCAACTGCTGATGCCTGAAGTGATGACTCTGCTGTGAATGTACTGGAAAGGTCGCGAGTACAACCACGGATCTTCAGCATCGTCGACTTCGAATCGAACGTTGGGAGGTACACTGAAAGATCTCGTCAGCTTCTGCTTTCGCGGATGCGACGGGGTAGATTTGTACTATGCAGGCAGTGTCGGAGACAAGTCAAAGGCTAGGACCTGTGAAGACTTTCACGTCAGTTACAATGCGAATTTCCTCATTTCCCGATCCGATAACTGTAATGTCCGGTAAGAGTATGAGCTAGGGGAATGCTTGCCTCGGATTCTGGGTGCTCGTCTCCAAAGTCAAGAGCCCAGATACCGCTGCCGGTGCCCACATCGAGAACTCGTCCGACCTTGGCACCAGGTTGGCAAGGTGGAGCAACACCGAGATTGTTGTCGGTGACAAGAAGCCACATTGAATGGGTCAAATCTGATCACATTTTAGATCAGAAGACAGTTCATGAGGCGAGTATTCTTTGACTCATACATACCCAGTCTCTCTAGCTCTCTATCGTCATTGGGAATGATGTACGCTACTTAAGTCAGAGGTGTTGCGCAAACGAATCACGTAAATGGACCTACTTCCGTCTTTGTACCGATGGTAGGTCCTGCCATTCTCCTGTCGATATTCGAGAATAGACTCCCGAAGGCTGGTGCTCGACGAAGCCACGCTCTAAACCGATAAAACGGCGTTCAGCAGGATTTCCGAGAGGCTTCAGCGAAGGCAGCGAATAAAGTGTGCAACGATTGCGATTAACTTACACTTCCAATTTCCGACTGTGAGTCACCTTGAACTGAGTCCTCTGGCTTGGGGGATGTTAGGACTTGCCTAGGGAATGATCTCATGTTCATAGTGGCATACCTCCTCTTGGTCGACGGCAAGCAAAACTGGTTCGTTGTCTTGGGACATATTGCACGTTCTGAAGCTCACGACTTCAAAATTCAACGAAGATAGCTGCTCACGGGAAATTATAGACCATAGCACAAGATGAAATTGCCAATGAATTATTGAAAATGATAGCAATCGAAGTCGGCGCGGGGGGGGGGGGGGAGAGCAATTGTTTTGTGGCGAGAACAGAAGAGCTCATGCGAGCCCCTCCTCGTGGCCGGGGTACGCTGCAAAACCAACAGGCAAACACGCATATGCGCCTCGGCGGTGCATTTCTCTCATTGCAGACATTTGTGGACCTGTAGGATTCACGGCCGAATGAGATCTTGGGACATTGAAGCGTTTACGGCAGCTGGAAGCAGATATCTCTAAGCGAAGGGGTGCGCTGGTGACCGGGACACTAGTTACTGGGAACCCAGAATCGGAAAGAGATCCGTATCCGCGGCACAGGTGCTCATCCATGTTTGCTGCCAAGGCCAAGACTCGACGAATAACGAGGATGGATCTTGATTTCGTTCCGCGATAAATTGAATGCGGCATAAGGCCATGCAGTCGCCGCACGTCGAGGGCTTCAGACACACCAGTGTGCAACACCAGGCCAAGACGAGAATAGAGACCGCCAGATACTTGAATGCTTTCCTTGAAGCACAAGGGTACCGACATGCAGTCACCGGATCTCCGCACCAGCACAGCACGATAGCATGATAGGCTCCTGTGCTAATTATGACCTTTCGGATCTCATGGACTTGCCATTGACGTCTGAATCCGGCTTGCTATTCGTGGATTACAGGTCATCTCATCCCTGCGATGCGCTAGGATGGACCTAGACTAAAGCAACTAGGGCCTAGGTCCCGTCCCGAACGCAACCTTGCTCAACAATATAAGGCTTGGGAATCAAGGTGTCGAGGAAAAGGCTCTTGTGTATTCATTGTATTCCTGAGAGAACAGCAACCTGCAGGTATTGCTTACCAAATTACGCAACACACTGTCAAGTTTAGCACTCTTTTCTTCCTGTTGGTACTCAACTCTGCCTTCAGCACTATCCTCGTTCTCCAGCCGGGAGTGAACCCTTCAGTTCTACGTATGGATTATGAATTTATCTCGGGTAATGAAGACGCCTATTCTAGTCGCGAGTTAATGATTCTGTCTGATGAACCCCTTATTAAGGACCGAACTCTCTGTGACGCAAGTCCATGAAGTTGAAAGTGCACACACTCGGTGTCAGACCCTTTCTCTCGATTTCTTTCTTTCTATCAATCACACGAGCCCATCTATTGAGCTGAAGGCTGAGCCGGAGGAGATAGAGACCATGGAGGAAAGTCGAGAGCCGGGTGCTGGCCAACTAATATGGTTTGCGTCCGACAATGCAATACCTGCGTCGGGTCATTATCATAACGCACATCTGAATGCTGAGAATGCTTACGCTGGCCACCATGCATGTATAGTCCTGTCTTGAATGTTTTCCCGTACATCGACAAGAAATTCCTCGACCTCGGCAGGTGTCCAATCGAGGGCTCGCGTTAAAGGTGCCATAGTGAAGCCTTCAAGGCCGCCAGAAACGTTTTCGCCGTGCCAGGTACCAATTTCTTTATACTTCGGGTCTTTCGGCCAAGTATTAGTAGGCCACTTACATAGACTTAGCGACACATCCACGAAACCGACCTCTATGAGGAGGTCCTTCAGTAGTGGCACTTCGACGTAGGGCCGACCGAACTTTTCTGATGCCTCGAGGAGGAGACTGCACCACCTCATCAACGGATGCTCGGGTGTGAGAGTGCCATCGTCTGATCTTGGAAAGAGATCAAATTCTTGTAACTCGACCCATCCCCCAGGTTCGAGATGACTGCGTTTCACCGGTCAGTATGTAACTTATCCTTAAGGTATTTCCTCTGATCGGAGTCACTAATAGAGCCAATGTGCACACACTTACTTGAAGCAACGGCGTAGATAAAGCTTCCAGTCACCAATACTGGAGGTCATCACCCGGCTGTGGATGTAAGAAAAAGGCCGCGACCAAGTCCACTCTTCCTCAGCATCGTCGACTTCAAATTTGACATTTGGTGGAACGCTATTGCAATTGTGTATGTCAGGATCTGTATTGTAAAGGCGACTCATTGGTAATATTCAACTTACTATATTGGGAGAGTTGGCGACAGGTCGATACCAAACACCTGTGGAACAGTCTCAGTAAAGTACCGTACCTTCAAAAAAGGGTCACGTCCAGAGATGGAACAGTTCCTGATATGTATTGGAGCGGCAATCTTACCTCGGACTCAGGATGCTCGTCACCAAAGTCGAGGACCCAGATGCCGGAGCCAGTTCCGACGTCAAGCACCCGGCCGACTTGAGCACCCTCCATACAAGGTGGAGCCATGCCAAGTTTGTCATCTAAAGCAAGAAGCCATAAATGGTGCTGTAAATCTAAAGCAAGAATCAGAAAGTGACTTCAAGAGGGAGGGAATGATTAGAGGAACCTACCGAGCCGATCTAATTCCTTTTCGTCGTTGGGGAGGTTGTATTCTAAAGTCGGGTGAGAGCAAGTCTTTGAATGAAGACCAAGCGTGTGTAACATACTGCCGTCTTTGTATCGGTGATACGTCCTGCCATTCTCGATACGGTACTCAAGAAGTGATTTGCGAAGACTGATAGTCGATGGAACTATGCTCTGGAGGACATAAGAACGTGTCAGTTATTGGCTGCCATCTTCTTCCGAGCATTGCCCCCTGTGACGCAGGTAGGCTCAAGCTTACATGCATATCTGCTATCCCTTCCTGTAGCCGTATTCGTTAGCTCACCTCTGGCAGCAGATCTGTCTACAAATCGAAGGCTCATTTCCTTACATCATCCACATCGAGATCAGCAACGTTGTTGTCATGAGCCATGGTGGCCGTGTACACAGATCTCTTGGTTACTACTGATGCTCTGTCTCCGAAACTTCAAGTCAAGTTCTGTCAACATCTTACGCCAAATTTTTTTGTTGAAAGAGTTAACGATGTCCGGGGTGGGACGCGGGTCTTACAATCCTTTTGTGTTAAGTTTAAAACCAACTACACAGTATGCCAATGTGATCCAGCAGACCCCAGGCGCAGACGAAAGTCACGCCAACAGGCAAACATGCATATGCGCATTAACGACGTTGCTACCAACTGCGGCGCAGACAGTTGTGAACCTGATGCAGATATGGCCCAGTAAGAGAGACCGGCTTCAGACAGGGGAGGAGGGTCTCTCCCTCATTGGATGTATGGTTATGCTTGCCATTAGTGATGACCCGGTTACTCCCATCCGCGTTTGCAAAGGATTTCAAGCCAGCACCAACGCCAGCACCAGTGATCTGTTATGTTTCAATTCAATTGCTCCGTATGCCATATGCGCTATTAAATGCCCGTCTGCCAAGCTCTCTGCTGAAAACACCCTTCTATAAAGCCATATAGCGAAGATAGCTACTCAATGCGGCCCTTTTGAAGGTTGGCTAGTCGCCTGGGAGGTCGAGCGAGACTGGCAAGATCATAAGCCCTCAGGTATCAAGCCGCCCCCGGTTGATTTCGTATGCAAAAGTTCCGTTGGAGCACTAACTTTCACAATCTCAAGTCCATGGCCACGAAGTAGAGATACGGACGCGCAAAATGCTTGTCAGCGTCTGGCCCTTATCAGTATTGAGTCGGCCCATCCCTGCGATGCTCTGGAGCCGCGCTAGGATCGATTACGCTAAGGCGTGAAGACTAATTAGACTAATACCAAACACAACCTCTGTTCGACTACAATGTCAGATCTCGCCCTTCATAACGCTTCGGCTCATGTCGATTACCCAGCTAAGCATTCCGAGCCAATCCGACTGGAAATGCCTCAAATCGTAGTCGTACTATCTTCAGGCTCCTGTTTGAGGATGGTCTAAGATGTCTCTGGACAACTTTCTTGTCTCGGATCCTGTCACTGTCACCGTCACTCCTCTTCCTCTACATATGCTCCAGTGTCAAGATGACGCTGCAGCTGGAGGTTGAGTTGGGGGAGAGGAAGGAGCCTCCGAAGAAGCCGGGGCTGGGGGAGCAGGCGTGCTCTCCTTCTCTGGCCTGCGCCCGATGATGCAGTAGCTGAAGCCGGTCAGCGTGTTCCAATTTAGTAAAATCGAGACATTTCCGTCTGTGCTACTCACGTTGGGGTATAGCTGTGGATAGTCCTGTTCTTGATATCGTTTCGAACATCAATTAGGAAAACGTTGACCTCTTCCGGGGTCCAATCAAAGGCGCGGGTAAAGCCTGCCATAGAAAACGCTTCGAGGCCACTTGTGAAGTTCTCACAGTGCAGCCTTCCGAGCTGTTTATATTTCTCATCTTTGGCCCAATCATTACAGGGCCACTTGTAGCTGGTGATCTGTACGTCGACAAATCCGATGGCCTTCAAGGTGTCCACGAGAGGTCTCGGGTCAATGTAAGCGCGCCCAAGCTGCGCCGTGGCTTTCTGGATGAGTTTGCACCACTTAGAGAAGGCATGGTTTTCTGTGAGAGTTCCGTCATCGGAAGCGACAATGACATCGAGTTCCTGTAGTTCGAGCCATCCACCCGGGGTGAGATTGCTGAGGTTGCCCCTGAGTTAGCCATATCCCTTAGACAATACTTCGGCCGTCTTATTCATTGCTTCGCAATCAAGTACAAAGAACAAGCACTTACTCGAAACACCTGCGGAGATAGACCTCCCAGTCGCTGATGCTTGCCGTCATGATGCGGCTATGAATATAGTCAAAAGGTTGCGACCATGTCCATTCTTCTTCAACATCATCAATCTCAAACCTCACGTTAGGGGGCACACTAATAATCGAGGTCAGTATTCCACAACGCTGGTGTTTCCGGGCGATGTCTGGGAACTCTTCATCACATACTAGTCAGGTAGGGTTGGTGAGAGGTCAATGCCGATAACCTGGGAAGAACACCATATCAGAATCCGGTTCGTTCCTTCGCCGTAGTACATGCAAAGGCCGAAATCTGGTGCTAGGCAGTCACATGAGATGGCTTACCTCGGCATCAGGATGCTCGTCTCCGTAATTGATAGCCCAGAGTCCACTACCAGTGCCAACATCAAGTACTCGGCCGACTTTGGCGTTCTCCTCGCAAGGCGGAGCGATACCAAGAGCGAAATCAAGAGAGATGTCCCAAAGTTCGCCTTGCAAATCTGAGGATGCTGTGAGCGTTTTGTTCAGACTGTACCCCTGGGTCATGAAGCGTACCTAATCTTTCCAACTCTCTCTCGTCATTGGGAAAGGCATATTCTTATCGAAAATTAGAGTGAATCTCCAAAACTGGGTCCATTTCGACATACTGCCATCTTTGTATCGATGATAAGTTCTGCCGTTCTCAATGCGGTAGTCCATGATGGAATCACGGAGACTAGTGCTTGATGAAGCGATGCTCTATGCAATGGCATTCTGGTGAGACGAAAAATCCTGTGACTTGACATGGGGCGGTCTCAAGCTTACGCTTCCAACTTCGGAAGTAAGATCATCTTGCTAATGCCACTGTTAGAGAAATTTCACGTAATGGCTATAGCACGGTAGGGCGGGCGCCGAAGCTGTCTCACCTCGTCTACTGCGAGAGCATCATCATGGTCGTGACACATGTCGTGTGGCTTTAAAAGATAGTTCGGAGAATAAGATGGTGAGTGTCTCTTGATCGGGCTCGCGACGTTGCAGCTGTTGTCGATTTGGCTGCGACCAAATTATCGGGTTATATCCGCTGATTCAGTGAGGGATGATCAGGAAACCCGCGCTGACGGTTGATGAAGAAAGACAACGAGGGGGCGGCAAATGTTTTCGTGACAAAGTCAGGCGATCTTTGATCCAACGCCCCTCTTCTCAACCGGGGGCTGGTGCAAGCACCAACGAGCAAACATGCATATGCATCTCGTCGGCGGAGTGTTCCCTTTGCAGAAAATTGTGGAGCAGAGGAAACAATTGACCGAATGAAGAGAGAATCGATGTGACAAGGCAACGTGCCAACAACTTCCAACTGCATATTGGCATCTAATCACTTGCCATATCCGTCGCACTACCCCTGTCAGCCGCGAGGGCTCCCAACTTCGGAAAGAGCTGCGTCTCCGTGGTCCGCGCCGAGGCTGCAACCGTGCTGAGGGGTTCCCGATTGCTTGGTCACTATTCAAATTCGAGAAAAGGAAAGAATGTTCATGGAAGTGTCTCCTCGGACAATTTCATGGAGCGCTGGGGGTCTGTAGATTTGGGTACGCAGTGCCATGAGCAATGCTGCGAGGTAAGGGGAGAGGAAATTCTCTGACAAAAACCTTCATCCAATAGCTAGTCTTAATCCCTTCGTTCTACGACCGAATGCGGTTGTTACTGAGCTGAAGCTGAAGCTGCCGCTGTGGAAGCTTCGGCATCCGCTGGAGTGCTCTGACTTTGAGGCGGAGCTGGACTGTTTTCTTTCAAAGGCTTCCTGCCTACAAGAGTGTAGCTACAGAGAATCGTCAGTCCGAGAGGGTAGACTGTGGAATAATAGTTCGAAAAACAGCAAGAACACTTACATTGGCATATATGAGTGGATCTTCTTGTCTCTCATATCTTTGCGAACACCTACAAGAAACACTTGAACCTCCTCCTTCGTCCAGTTGTGAACCCGGGTCAAAGGTGCAAGAGCCATAGCTTCAGCGGCATCAACGAAATTATGGAAATTCCATTCGCCAATTCTCTTGTAGTGCTCATCCTTCGGCCACGCGTTAGACGGCCACTTGAAGTTCTGCTGGGCCACGTTCTCGAATCCAACGTCGATCATGAGCTCCCTCATCTCTGGGATAGGAGCGAATCTGCGCCCAAACTTCTCAGCAGCTTCGCGAATGAGGGAAACAAACTGCGCTAATGGCTTCTCAGGAGGTAGAGTGTCGTCATCAGCTTTGATGACGAAGTCTCCCTCCTGAATCTCAAAGTAGCCTCCCGGGACGAGATTACTATTGCACGAGTCTTGTCAGCTCTGGTGTTTCTACGCACGCAGCTAGTTGAAAGTCGATGTGTTGCCCTCCGAGGCCCTTGGGCTTCTACAAAGATGCCAATGAAGCTCGGTGACTATGGCACAATAAGCCATGTGACGACTATGAGAAAGGGACGTACTCGTAAGCTTTCTGGATGATCTTCCTCCAATCCGAAATAGACCCGTTCATGAACCTAAGGTGGATGTAGTCAAAAGGCCGGGAATAGAGCCACTCTTCCTCGACATCGTCAACCTCAAACTTGACGTTTGGAGGCACGCTAAGATGGCATCATCAGTAGACTATTGGGCCTCACTGAAGGAAGGGCACATGCTCTTGCGGCTGAATAGGAGAAAGATCGACTCCAAGCACCTGTCTTTCTGTCAGATACCTCCGTCTGGGAAGAATTTCTTCATCAAGAGCCCTTACCTCAGTTTCTGGATGCTGGTCACCATAGTCAATAGCCCAGAGACCAGTTCCAGTACCAAGGTCGAGAACACGGCCAACCTTAGCGCCCTCGTCACAAGGAGGAGCGAAGCCCAATCTCTCGTGGAATGTGAGGATACATATTTCGTGTTGCATATCTACTTGGGTCAGTGACCAGTATGATTCAACGTAAAAAGCCGCAAGATTCACTACTGACCCTGCCTGTCCTGCTCCATGTTGTCGTTAGGCCAAGCATATTCTGGTAACCATTAGCTGCTGATTCGCAGCCCAAATATTTGGCAGAGAGCTAGCGTAGACTCACTGCCATCCTTATACTTGTGATATGATCTTCCGTTCTCGATCCTGTGCTCAAGAATGGAGTCCTTGACGCTTGTGGTCTCTGAGCGGATGCTCTCAAGGTCCTGTTCGCTATCGGAGACCTGAATCGACGGTCATCAGCAAACAATGTCTACGTGCCCAGATGCTTGCACAGATCCGTACATCGTCTTCAGCGGCCAGGTGAACTTCGGGATCCTCCTGTGTAGTAGCCATGGTAACCGTTTGCTAAGACCTGGCCGTCTTCGAATGCCACTCGAAATTGAGATGTTGTTTTGCTAAAGATTCGTGTTGGAAAGCACCTTTCAGAATGCACAAGTCGATACCAGCCCAGAGTTTCTGGGAGTGAGCAGATCCAACCGAACCCCTCATTGTTGAACCAACGTGTGGCCTGTCGCCCGCCAACTGCGAGCTATCATCCACAGTATCGGCGTGCAGGGTGCATGATGCATGTCGGCGGCGACGTTGCCCCTTTGCAGACTGGAAAAACTGGAGATATGACAGGGGGAGTAGGACGGGAAGACGTCCCCGGCGCGGACCGCGGGCTGTACACCCGTCAGGCTAGTGTCCTTCGCTTTCTAGCCGCACCAAACGACTAGAGGGTCTGGTCTCCAAAAAAAGAACCACGACACAGACAAAGTCAAACCGACGTTGCCATAGACCACCACGACCTCGAGTCCGTGTCTACAAGTCAGTATTCAAATCGCGTAATTATTTCAACCTTCTACGATGCATTATTTGCCATCAAAAAGTTGCTAGCAAACTCACTGGTGCTCGCGTCAAGCCAATTTCCACGCACGGGGTTGCACTGATCTGAGAAAGACATCGCGAGAGCAACTGGATATTTGATGACCAAGGAGCCTAACAGATTCCTACTATTTCTGCTGACCTCTCTTCGTCAGCGTCGTGTGCCTTTCCGTCTTCCCTGGGGTTGAGCTGAAAATGACCTCGTCATTTCTAAGGCGAAGCGGAAGTCTCGGCCGGCGTTGCTGCCTTCAACGGTTTCCTTCCAACAAGCGTGTAGCTACAATGATGTCAGAAAGATCAGCTCGAAGATGAAGAAAAGATGATTGACTTACATGGGAAAGTAAGAGTGAACCTTCGGATCCCGAAGGTCCTTCCGCACCTCGGCGGCGAACACCAGCACCTCCTCCTTGGTCCAGCCATGCACCCGGGTCAATGGCGCCAGGGAGACAGTCTCAACTGCGCCACCAAAGTTGTGGTAATTCCACTCCCCGATCTTCTTGTACTTGGGGTCCTTGGCCCAAGGATTCGTAGGCCACTTGAAGACGGTCAGCTCCACGTCTTCGAACCCGACCTCTGTGAGGACGTCCTTCAGATCAGGAACATGGACCAGGGGCACACCCATCTCCACGTAAGCTTCGCGAATCAGGGCGCCGAATCTAGACAATGCCTTCTCGGGGGGCAGTGTTCCATCGTCGGCGGCTGGGGACATGTCTGACTCCTGTATCTCGTACCATCCGCCGGGCGTGAGGTGGCTTTATGTTTGGAAACGCTGTCAGATATCCTTCGCGGAGTTGCACTTTAATGATAAGACTTACTCGTAGGCCTTCTTGATCATCTTCTTCCAGTCGCTGATGCCGCCCGTGATGATTCGACTGTGAATGTAGTCGAATGGCTGTGAATAAAGCCACTCCTCCTCGATATCATCAATCTCGAATCTCACATTAGGCGGAACGCTGTGAGAGACGAACGATCAGTCTTCTGGGTGTCTTGTCATGGCCAACCGGTTTCTCATGCGGAATCAACATACTCTGACGGCTGTACAGGAGAAAGGTCCATGCCCAGCACCTAAAGGACAGGTGATCGTTAGCAACCTCTCGATCATTGCGTTTAAGGAGTAAGTGGCGTCACAAAAATTGAAGACTCACTTCGGCTTCAGGATGTAGATCCGCAAAATCGATCGCCCATAATCCAGTACCCGTGCCGAGATCGAGAACACGACCAACTTTTGCGCCAGGCTCACATGGAGGGGTTATGCCGAGCTTTCCATCCCAAGTGAGATAAAAGATCTCATGCTGCATATCTGATAAGCCCTGTCAGTGGGATAAAACACTAGCCAGTGATAGTCTATCTTACCAAGTCTATCGAGCTCTGTCTCATCATTGGGAACGAGGTATTCTATCGAGCTGGTCAACCGCTGAATGCAGTCGGAGAGCGCCTGCTTTACCTACTGCCATCCTTGTACTTATGATAAGTTCGTCCATTTTCTTGGCGCCACTCGAGCATGGATGCCTTGATGCTCGTCGTCTCTGATTGAATACTCTGTCAAAAGAGCAGCATGAGTAAGGAGATCTAAGCAGTGAGAATACTGCGAGATTGGTGTCGTCCTTACCTGGAGATCAGCTTCGCTGTCGGTCACGTCAACCTGAACTTTGCATTAGTTGTCATCTACTTGGTGTTTAAAGTTGCAGTTACACGTACATGGTCTTCAGCAACAAGCTGGACCTCGTTATTCACGATAGAAGCCATGCTCGCAGGTGCTCGTTCGCGCAGTTAACAAGGTATCCAATCTTAATGTTTCTCCTTCAAACAGAAATATGGGCAACGTGAGAGCGCGAATCTTGACGAGACGCAAAAGGCGTTCGGGCAGCGGGGGAGGCACAGACTTGTCTATTTGTTGCGACCAAAACATTCGATTGTAACCCCCTCTTTCCGGCCCATGTTTCTGAGCAGGGCCAACAGAACGAAATGTGCATTGCATAATGCAAGTACGGCGGCCAAGTTGTCTCCATTTAGAAAGGAAATGTGGGACGGAGAGGGGACCGTCGTTCGTTGCTTGGTATCGAGACGCCCAAACCCATGTTAGAGCCGTTGGATGCAACGCCCGACCTTCTGAATCTGTCCGGAGCCGAGGCGAAGGTCCGAGTTACCCCGGCTTCAGCCACACGATTGATTCGCTTTGTGTATTTGACGAGCCGGGCAAAGATTGAGTTCTGTTTCTTCTGTATTGAGAGAAGAGATGATGCCGAATAGAAATAGAAGTTGGGCTTTACGGCGTCTTCTTTCTCGTTCCCGCTTCCTAACCATGTCTTGCCCCAAGGTAGTGGCATGGTTCTCACAATCTCTGTTCAATTCTCTATTCTTCCTTCGATTCTGGCTTCCGTCCAACGACAAAATACCTAAGTTGCTCAAGTCAGCATGCAAAGCGTGTTCGACAAGTGATCATGAAACAGAGATGGCTTACATGGGGACGTAAGTATGGTAGTTCTTGTTAGCCAGGTTCTTCCGGACTTCAGCCAAAAAGACATTCACCTCCTCCCTAGTCCACTTGTGGGCGCGCGTCAGAGGCGCAATAGAGATAGCCTCGAGACCGGCGTTGCTATTCTCAAAGCCCCATGCGCCCAGTTCCTTGAACGAAGGATCTTTGGGCCAGGTATTGATGGGCCACTTGTACCGGCTCAGCGTCACGTCCTTGAAGCCCACATCGACCATCAGTGTTTTCAAGGAAGACACCGAGACGTACTCTCGCCCAAAGATGGCCGCGGCCTCCTTGAGGAGGTTGCCGTACTTGGCCAAGGGGCAGTCGGCAGGAAATGTGCCGTCATCGGACTGGAACTCCATCTCTGGCTCCTGCAACTCTAGATAACCGCCAGGTTGGATGTGACTTACACGCATTAGTAGACAGCTATTGAGCAAAGGCCGGGAGTAAAAGTCGCGCTTACTTGAAACATTTAGTGAGATAAGCCTTCCAGTCTGCGATGCTTGACGACATGAAGCGACTGTGAATGTAGTCGAACTGGGTGGTGTACGTCCACTCCTCGTCAATGTCGTCGATTTCGAACTTGACATTCGTAGCTACGCTGGGAGACCCGGCCTCTTAGTCCTCTCTCCCGATAGCTTCACGAATTCAGAAACCTACATGTCTGGCTGCGTAGCAGATAAATCAACGCCGAGAACCTGTTCACAGTCAACACGCATTTAAATTTCATCACTTTTGAGCTTGCCTCGGCTTCGGGATGATCGTCGCCAAACTGAATAGCCCAGATTCCCGTGCCCGTACCAACATCCAATACTCTGTCAACCTTGACACCAGGCTGGCATGGAGGTGCTAGTCCGAGCCGACCACCGAGGGTTATGAGGCATATGTGATGTTGCATATCTAGCAGTGTCAGACAAGTAAGCCACATGCGTGAGATATCTCAAGGACTCTGTAGAGGTGACATACCCATTCTATTATTCTCTTGCTCATCGTTGGGAATCACATATTCTTGTTACCGATAGAGTCAGCACGGCTTTACAAGAGACATGGAGCGTGTTGCTCACTTCCGTCTTTGTAGCGATGGTACGTTCGCCCATTTTCGAATCGATAGTCCAAGATTGAGCCACTGAGGCTGGTGCTCGAGGAAGCAATGCTTTCAAAATCTGCTCGATTTTCTTCCAGAGCCTACGACTGCTATAAGCTCGAGAGAATGGCACCTGTCACATGGTCACAAACATACCTGTTCATCCGTAATGATTTTGATCTCGTGATCGACTTCAGCCATGATTACAAGTGTTGGTTGGGCGAGAATGACGTGCTGTAGTTTATGGACGATGAGCAAGAGTCGACAATTTGAGCAGAGGCATGGGAACCGAGGAAGAGAGGAATCTGGTCAATTTTGTGGAAAAGCAACATGCCATCGCTAACACCCCCTCAATCAGACTCGAATCAAACCAACGAGAGAAATGCACACACAACGCATGCCACCGGCGAAGTTGACCCTTGGCAGCATTCTGGGTGGACCCGAAAGAGCTGCCGCCGAATGGAAAGTGAAGTCCTCAAGGCAGGGGTATCAAAAGCGATGTCCTTGTTCTGCATGGTCCTCACACTTGCTTCCGCGGTGACTGACTCGATATGTGGCTGACTGTCCATCCCTTTCCCTGAATGCGACCGGCACAACCAACATGAACCTCGACCTCTTCTTTAGTTTCTGCGAACAAGATGACAGCACACAGGTTACTAGTCGGAAGGTCTAATACGTGTCGAGGACAGATCAACACCAAGAACCTGAGGCGGACCAAATGTCAGTATACGTCCAAAGAAACACTGTACATCGATAGGCGGAACTTACTTCGGCCTCCGGATGGTCATCGCCAAATTCGATAGCCCAGATACCAGTTCCCGTACCGAGATGAAGGACTCTTCCAACCTCAGCGCCTGCTTGGCAAGGGAGCGCAAGACCGAGCCTGCCTCCCAGCGTCATGAGGCAGATGTGGTGCTGTAGATCTATCGGAACGCGATCAGATTCTGAATCCTAGGTCAACAGTAATGTGACAACTCTCGCCTAGTCTATCCATTTCCCTCTCGTCGTTGGGGATATTGTGCTCTTGCATTTCTACTAGATTCCCGTACAAATAAAGAATCAGAACTCCAGGTCAGATTGTGAACTCAACCCCATCTTTATACCGATGATAAGTTCGACCATTCTCGAAGCAGTAGTCTAGCATCGAACCGGAAACGCTTGTGCCAGACGAGGCGATACTCTCAGAGGTAGTTAGCACATGCCAAGCCACTCACAAAGGAGAATTTAAATTGTTTACTTCGACTTCTGCCTGGTCATTGTCTATAAACTAATTTTATAATACTTGTCAGCCCACTGCCACGAGGAGGTACACACGAGGTTTTGAAGGACACAGTACCCCATCGTTGGCAGCGATGACAACTTCGTGGATAATTTCCACCATTTGGTTTTGAGTATCGAAGATTGGTGAGTTGGATTTGGAGTCACTTCTGCTCGTTGCTAACCAACCTTGTTCAATCAACCTCGCCCGAAGAACGAGGAGCGGGTAAGTCAACGAGGGATATGCCAAATTGTGTTCAGGAACAGGGGCAAGGGACTCGAGTCCCCCTCACCTTGGTGAACACGAACCAACATAACAAGACATGCAAGCCAACGGCGAAGTTGTCCCCGTTCACAAAAGGCCACGACGCCTCTATGTGGAGCCGATGAAACCGCAGCTTCATCAACCCCGGCCTGGGCAGGTAAAGAGGTTGAGCTCACGTTCCCTGCAGTCCTCGTAACCGGTGTGGATTCCTGGTCATTGTTATTTACATACACAAATAAAGTACGTGGACTGCAGACAACCCTTTTCACTCTTACGTATCAGTTGATCTTGATGTGGGCGAGTATATTAGACGGAAGCCCCCCGCCCCTCAGCGTGCCGTCCGGGAAGTGGATCTGCCTTGCGGATGGAACCGCGGATCAGCACCCGGCTCCGGCCCGATCCCCGCGGAGTCAACCAACTTGAGGCATTTCCAGTGAGCAGCTGTCCTGCCCCGTAGAGGTCTTGCAGGTACGGTTACAATAGTGCGTTCTCCGGGGATATGCTCAATGATGAAGCCGGAATAAGTAGTCCATAGTCGACGTTGGTGAATACATGATGTCATGAGAGTTCTCATCAAGAAATATGGCGGTCTTCAGGAAGTCAAAGATCTGAATATGATTCATGAGGACTGACAAGGGATGATGCGCTTAAACCAAACACCCGTATTGTTACAGCCCTATGGAGGCCATCTAGACCTGGTCCGATTATACATGTATCTAGCTCCAACTCCTAGCTTAAACAAAACAAAAACAAAAGCTCACGTCACTCCTTTGGGAACAGCTCCGCCGAGATATCCTTATCCCTTCTCTGGTGATTTGTCCGGCTAGAGCTGCTACCAATGACCGTCGGCGCGTCGCCGTCCGTGTCCGGGTCGTATTCGGCATCATCCGCATGTTTCGCCTTCTTCAGCTTCAAGCTCGCTCCATCGTCCGAATTCGCACCCTCCTCGCTTGCCGAGTCGGCGTCGTCGTACGGGCTGACACCTGCGTGTCTCGAGCTCCAATCGGGGTCATCCTCTGGGAGTCGCTCGTGTTCGTGCTGCGGCTGCTTGATGAAAGAGTCGATGATGTAATACTGCATGGCGTTCATAACGAGCGGGAAGAACATCATGACGAAGAAGATTTGCAGCTGCTCGTTGCCCTCGGTCCACCGCAAGGCCCAGTCGCCGACGCGCGAGATCCAGGGCAGGAGGAGGAAGATGATGAGGACGCAGAACTTCATGCCAAAGAGGCCGCAGAAGTAAATGAAGGACTGCTTCAACCACCACCAGGCGTTGGGAGGTGTGCCATAGTTGCCGGACCGGATCGACTCCTCAGGCTTGCCCAAGGGTGTGTAGGCAACGAGGCCTGTCAGAACGCGGAGAAGTACGATGAGGATGGGGATACCGATGGTGGTCTGCATGACGCATGTTAGTACGATGCCGGAGAGAGAAAGGAAGCGAGTGGGTTGCTTACATCAATAGCGAGATTGAGCAGGTAAAAGGAGCACGGGTTTGGTGTGTAGTCCTCGCCGCGTCTCATCAACCTCTGCGCGTTGGCCGTGGTTGCGGGGTCCAGTGTCACAGAAAAGCGCCCTGACGTCAACATTGACATGAAGATGTTGGCGATGTGGACGAGAACCGAGCCAAACACCTGCTTCGAAACATCGAAGAACCAGATCTTGACTGGACGTTGTGGCCGCTCTCTCCAGCGCTTGAAAACCAACGACAGCAAGGCAAGGCCGCCCAGGGCCGCCTGGACAATGAGGGCAAAGGAACCGAGCAGGCTGCACTCGCCATTACCACCTTCTTCGCCCTGTGTTGCAGCGTGGGTAGCCGTGGCCGCGGCGACAGCATTCGTGAAAGTCGCGACGGCGCCGTCGAGGGCTTCTGTCGGGGTCGCGATAGGGATCATTGTGTTTGCTGCTGCGTCGACTGCTGCTGTTGCTGTAGCTGCTACGAAGGCGGCGAGTGAAGTAGGAACATCTTGGGCGGCAGTCGCTATCAGGTAGGGTGGCGGAGGGGCCATTGGCCTGGCCGGGTCGGGGTGTGTTGAAATGGGACTAGCAGAGGGAGGGACAGAGAGAAAAAGGGCGGTCTCGTGCGAATGACGGGGTGATGTTTGGTCGGAAGGGGGGCGATAAAGCGGCCGTCGGTATGTGGATGACGTTCTTTTGGGGTGGGAGGAGGGTCGATCGCTTTAGGTCGAACAACGGGTTTTTGGCTGACGGATTAGGAGCGAAGGCGAGACAAGCGCATGCAACCGCGTTGTGGATTTGGGGTACCGTAGGAAAAAGGAAGGAATTTGAAAATTGGAAACCGGCGGCCAAAGGAAGAAGCAACACAAGTAATAAACCTCCGAAAAGTCTGGGTGAGGAGGGATGTTTAAGAGAAGAGGGAAGAAAGCAAAAAAATAAAGAGAAACACGGAGATAGAAAGAAGAGGAGCGGGCCAAGGTGTAGCGAGGAGCGGATAGGCAAAAAAGGTGATCGTCGTCGGGGATTGATGGGCCAGAAGGGCGGGCTGTCACGAGGCGGAGTAAGAAAGTGACATGCAGCACAGACTTGGGGGAGCTTCAGCCTTCAGCTTAGGCAACTGCGGTAGGTGAAGGGTTGATATCTTGGCACCGTGGCGCCCTGATACCGAAGTAGGTATGAGCCACGGTCAGTGAGCGATCTGGCGTTTGTGTCTGTTCGAGCGAGCACCTCAGGATGGTGATGATGATGATGATGAGCAGACCTATTGGTGGTAGCTGTTGATGAGTAAAGGTACGATACCACGGATACGTACAAAGTTGGAAGAGTACGGATGCCTCAAGGTACTGTACAATGAAATGGGAGAAAGGCAATGGCCGGGTCCTGACACAAGCTTACTTCTGATTGGGCTTAGCGTCCCCACATACCTTAACACACCTGGCTTTGCCGCCTTGGGGGATCCTCCATTAGTCACTTTCCCACGGCCCAGACTTGCCGTAAACTCGCCTGGAGCAATACTTCCTCTGTATTACGGAGCACCTACGGATACAGGCTACAGGCTACAGGCTACGGGCTAGGGGGGCGGATAGACGGAGTCAGGACAGGCACGAGGGGGGGCCACCAGCCAAGGCTTGTGTGTAATGTTGTTGGCTCCCACGGGTTTTACAGTTTGGAGCTTGGGGGCTCGGGTGGATCGAGGTGAGATTAGGAGATTTTAAAAAGGACGGAGAGACACCGCCGTCTGGATGGCACCGCCGGCCAAAGACATCACGAGATTTGTCCTTTGGCGTAAGGTACCTATCTACCTACCTAATGTAAGGAGAGGTAAGCTCAGGAGGCCGCGGCCAACGAGCGGACGACGGACCGGAGAAATCACCGCCGTTTAAGATCGACCACCCGACCTACCTACCTACCTACCTCCTTAAACTAGGTACCACCATCACCACCTATTTGTTTCTACGGATCGTATCATGCAAAGGCCAAGAGACCTTAAACCATCAATGTGGCTGCAGCGGCCAATATCCGTCCCAAAAACCATCTGCTCTGCCTGAAAAAGCCGTTGACCTGGGCAAGCCACAACAGGACAGAATGGGACACAAGTCTGCCAAACTCTCGACGCTCTCCTGCACTAACAACCTAAATGCAGGCCGGCCTGGTGCCGAGAACCCCGATTTACGAGATTCACAGGCGCTTGGCCCCATGCTTCCCCCATTTCCCCTGTCTCCGC